AATGGGTTTAGATCCTATTTAATATTTTTGAGCTGATTATAAATTCCCCAAGATCACGTTCTTATTACAAAAGCAATTTCAGAAAAGGCTCCCAAGCACAATATTCTGGTATTCAAGAATTTGTACCATAACACTACAAAATACATGGAAAATCTCTTCAGGGCATATCCAGAAAGGGGAAAAATTATGGAACTATCCAGACTTTCTGTTTTGATTTTACCTGCTTATTCTCCAGTTTGCATCCAAATTTTTCCTTGAAATATTCCAAGTTTTTCCCCCTTCTTCCCTGTCCCACTGATCAAGTATCACAGTTAGACCCATGCAGTATTTCAGATGTTGATTTCCACAAATTTCCACATAGCCTTCTTTCGTATAATTGTGGGATTACAGCCAAAGTCTCTTTCTGGGAGAAAGGCGGAATATTAATAAAATTATTATCAGTATTAATCATAATAAACTAAGCATTAGAACCATTTTGTTTGGATGCATTAGTTTTTCTCTTTGCTTGATCTCTGCTGAATCCCTGACCTTAAAACAGCAGCTATGTTGTTGTTGTTTTTATTTTACACTGATATTGATAGCCCCCATCTAACCCAAGAAAGACAGATGTCTCGCTTCTAATTACCTCTAATTTTAGCTAATTTTTATTTTTTTTCTCTTAATTAGTATTTTATTGTTGTTCATTTTTTATTGTTACTGTTTTTAGTTTGCTTCTTTTTTATGATTGGAAGGGGGGTTGGGGTAAGGGATTATTTAGAAATGTGGATTTTAATTGTATATTCTATTTTTTTGTTATTCTTGTTTGTTGTAACCAGCCTCGATCTGCAGGGAGAGGCGGGCTATTAATAATAATAATAATAATAATAATAATAATAATAATAATAATAATAATAATAACTGATGGCAGTTACCTTAGTAATTCCAGAATAATACAAACATACTGCAAAGTAAGATACATGACATTTTGGAAAATACTGGTTTAATTTAAACTGATCTAGAGAGGGAATTAAATATTCTTGTAAGTACTAGGAATTCCCTAGGAATATTTCAGAATGGGGAAAATGTGGTCCCATCTGGATGGATTAGAAAAACCAGAAAGTCCCTGGTTTTGTTCCTGCACTTTCCGATTTTTCTTTTAAAATCAACATGATGTTTTCCCCATTCTGACATATTACCAGTGTGAATTGTTTCTGTGAATTGTTGGTAACATGCTCACTGTGTGAGAAAAATTTCTAAGCAATGCCAGAAAATTTCTCTGAAGAAAGGACTAAGGAGATCACAAACACCTATTAGAGAAGACAGTGGAAAATAGAAGTGTCGTTCATAATACCTGCAACTCAACCTTCATACAGCGACAAATGTGAGGCCAGAAAACAGTATCCTACCCCAGAATTTGAGATCTAAATAGATATCGGATTTGTCAGACTCCATTTTGCACTTTTGGTTTGACATGACTTACCTACCCTATTGTTCCCCCCACTTTTCCCATTTCTTATTCAATAAATTATTGTCAGCAAATGTTTCATTTGCTTTCATTACCACTTTTATTCTATTTTCA